AAACGTTAGCGGAAATTGAATGAATAGCACGGCCACATCGGAGTGTGAGCGACGAAAAAAACGAGCAATGGCGAGTAGTGAACGCCAATAATCAGCCGCCACCACCCGCGCCTCTCGACTACTGCAAAATTCCACGCAAACGGAAGTTTTTTCAAACATGGTTTGATATTTTACCCATGATCTAGTTGATTTATCCTATTTATAATTTGGGTAAAACCTTAATCTAGTTTATTGATGATCCACAGCTTTTTTATGCAAATTTATGCACACTTTTTTGCATCACTTGGTGGGTGATGATGTAGGTTTTATGGACGTAAATATCATAGAAACAATATAAACTGATTATTTATACAAAAATAAAATTGCGTCAGAGTAAACATCAGAATTTCGTTTGATTTTTCGTGAGTCACTGGTGTATCACTTACAAATAATATAATGATATAAATAATAAGTCATGATATATGATTATATCTTAATAAACTCCGCTATTGGCGTCTTCCAGCATACCCTGAAGGTTTGAACTGAGTAATTTTTATTACTTTTTTCCTCAATGTTACCCTTCCTTATATAAAGAAAATATGAGCACATCAAAGTCTCATTGATTTCCAAGCAATCCTCTTCAAAGTACAGAAATTCTCCATGGAAACCGCCTTTATTTTCCCAGTTAGCCTTCTTCACCTCAGAAAACTAACTAGTAACGGATATGTTGTGTAGGAGTTGTAGCGTTATCCTAGGTAGACTGAGAAAAGAGAAGTGGTGTATGAAGCTAATGAAGCTGGTCTGGCCTTTCCAGCCGATACTTCTCTTAATTCTTTACCATTTATAGCCATTTTATGTAAACAAGGTGACCAAATATACGTGCCTCGAGCTTCAACATATTTTGACTTTCACATATTTATAACAATGCAGGAGGCGATCAAAATAATCAATGAAAAAAATTATTGCCTAGTAAAGTGTTAGTTCATATTCAAGAAATAAAATCAAGATTATGCCTAAAACTTTGAATTTCCGATCTTTTTTTAGACCTTGATGACTTATTTTCAAAGGCTATCTTGAACTTGATTTTCCCCTTTCAAACGGATCTTGTAGTTTTGGGGATTACAGAAGGATTACAGTGTGAACTTGTAAGCGACTATAACGTTATCGTTAAGCACTTACTGTGACTTTGGTACAGCTCTACAGTATAACTGGCTTATATTGTTGGACTTAGCGTCCTAAATAAACTTGAAATAATTCTAAAGTTTTCATTAGTATTTTTAAGATAATGCCAAAAGGTTCTGTACCTCAGCGCTAATTTCACATGAAATTTGACGTAATCTATTGTTATGGAAAAAGATAGAAGACCATTCTAATAAAAGTTCAAGTTCTAATTTACCAT